CATCCAGCTCTACACCTTGTTATATCAAGAAAGTCCTGAGTTTCAACTAATCAGCTAATTATACCAATGTATGAAGACACGCTAGAATTAATCTAAGCATGTTGAGAAAGAAAACTAGAAAAACAGACAGCAATGTCACTCTTGCTGTTTATCATACAATCCCAGTTAGATGTGTACATAATTGGATGAGAAGACAATCAGGGTATGATTCCTCTGCGTCTGGCTGATTTGCCATTATTCACCAACACAGGTCATATGTTAACAAGAGTCATTCAGCCATATGGTGTGTGGTACTTACCTGTAAAATCACACTTTAAATGACACAAGTATGGAGGGAGAGAAAATTGCCAAAAGCTAAAAGGGAAATATAAGACAACCCTACACATCATCTTCAGTAAAGCAAAGACAATTTGTCAGTGTCTCACATTGTCATAATTTCTTGCAAAAAGTAGAATTCATTCCCAATTAATGAAGTGGTCAGAAATTCCAGAGTTGGATAAGGTAAAAATGTTTAATGTGTTTGTTGGTTTTTCATGAGCATATAAGAACTAGTTGGGGCTTAAGAGGCCTCTACATGTAGTATAGCCCATATCACTTTGACTCACAGAGGGTGAATACCACACACCTTTATCGTCTAGTTAGCAATTTGCCTTTGTTAACACATTCTTTGATGCATAACAATTGTTTAGAAGTATCTTCGATGCAAACCTGCCTTCATGCGATATTGTGAAGGTCCAATCACATAACATTATGGAAGGAAGTAGTGGGTTCTAGGCAGCACTCTTGATTCATTAAGCCTTTGAACTGGAACTTCATGACTTCAATAGATGGAGGAAAACCCAACTCAAAATGCCTGCTTTCATGTAATCTCTAACTAGTATTTTAAAAGCATAAAACATGCACCAATAAGTGGCAGAGACACTGAGAAGTATAGAGATAATGTCTTTACATAGTATTTCAGAGGATATTCTTTTCTTATTTGATATTTACAATTTGTCAACTTATCAGTCTTTCAAATTTTATTTTTATTATGTCCTGAAGCACATTAATGGATAATGGTTCCATCTGAAGGGTAAATAAACCGAGATTTCAGAACTTAAATGAGTGGCAAATGTTACAGAACAGAGATGAATACATTTTTTTAAAAAACAGAAGTTAGTAAAATCTGGAATGCATTCTCTGAAAGTGTCTTGGAAGAGGATCCAATTGTAATTTCACTGTCCAGCCAATTAAAATCTATCAATGTGTACTAATATAAACATGTGAAATAGGAATGTGTTAAGTCTCCTCACAATCTTGCATGTTTTAATAAAACCAGTGCTCATTCTCTCAAAAGCTAATGGTACAAACTCAACTTATTCAATCATTCCTCGTAAGACAAACCTTGCATCTCAGCAATCAATGGAATGGAACCTCTCTGTGGTGCTTCTAATGCAATTATTTCCTTCTTTAAATAAAGAGATCAAAACTCTACATAGTATTAGTCTTACCAATGCACTGTAAAACTAGCAAAACTTTCCCTGCTTTTATACTTCCTCCTCCTTGCAATAAATGATAACATTCCACTTGTTCCTTCCTAGTCATTTGCTGTATTTGCAGAGTAATTTCTATGATTCATGTATCAGGACGCCCAGACTCCTCTGCACTATACAGTTCTGAATCTCTCTCCTTTTAAATAAGCTGCATTTCAGCAAACCAGGTACTACAGCCACATCACCTTCCTTAGCACCTGCCTCCATCCCCGCCTCTTCGACCTGTTTGTTTCCTCTCCACCTATCCTCTCCTCTATCCCTCTTCTATCCGCCTCCCACTCTCTCCCTATTTATTTCAGAACCCCCTTCCCCTCCCCCTTTTCTGATGAAGGGTCTAGGCCCGAAACGTCAGCCTCTCTGCTCCTATGATGCTGCTTGGCCTGCTGTGTTCATCCAGCCCTGCACCTTGTTGTCCTGCATTTCTGTTCTGTCTGCCAAGATTAACAAGTCACATTTTTCCACATTATACTCCATTTGCCAATTTTTTTTGCCCTCTCAATTAACTAATGTCTGTGAAGACTCTTTACATCCTCTTCAAAACTTACTTCCCTACATAAATTTGTGTCAACAGCAAATTTAGCAAAGATAAATTTGGTCCCTTCATCCATGTCACTGATGTAGATGTGATCAGCTGAGGTCCCAGCACCAAGTCCATGTCATCTCATTCGTGACATCTTGCCAAACCAAGAAATGACCTGTTTATGCCAATGCAATGTTTCCTGTTAGCTAATCAATCCTCTGCTTAAGCTAACTCTGATTTTTTTCTTCACAGATGCTGCCAGACCTGCTGAGCTTTTCCAGCAACTTCTGTTACTGTTTGTATATCATTTACTTTTTAAAATTGGGGGTTGGATAGACCAGTTGGCTGGATGGCTGGTTCAAATTGCAGAGTGATACTAAATAGCATGGATTTGATTACCATGAAGGACTCTCCTTCACAACCTCTCCCCTGGCCTGAAGTGTGGTGATCCTTGGATTAAACTACAACCAGTTAAACTCTCTCTCATGACAGAGCAGGCCTATAGTATGGTAACTATGGCGATGTTTACTTTTCAAAACAGCTTCTATTTAAAGGCATATCAAGCTACTTTTAAAAGACAAGAATATTCAAACTCTGAACTCCGATTGAAGAAGTAACATTGTGTAACCTTTAATTTCAGTGCATTTGTAGTACATAGCAAGTGATTGGTGTAAATTGACTGTACAATGGACAAAAAGTATTTTTACACTGCAATTCTGATATCAGAGCAGTGGTGTTTATATCTGTTTCCTAAAACGAATTTTGCTTGTTTCATTTTCAATTCTTTCCCTGATAGATGCCAGGCAGGAACTTGTCAAACCTGACAACAAATCAAAAACTCTAGCAAAAAATAAATATGGCCTGCTGCCAGAACAAAATAAGTCAGTTTTATACCTCCTAGTTCAGCCAATGACAGGAGAACAATATGCCAACCATCCTTTCACTTTTATTGCATAAAAACAGCTTTACTGATTTCAAAAAGAACTTGAAAGCACAAATAAACTGATCAGTAACAATTTATGCAGGAGAGTGTGAAAGTTCAGTTTTCAGTCAATCTAAATTGTAGTGAAAAACTAGATTACCGAAACAGCAATCAGAAATTTAACAGGTAGGAAAAAGGAGCACTTACATCAGCACCTTCCAGTTACATACTGCCTTTAACATAAAACATCCCAAAGCTCCTTACAAGAACACTATGAAACTTCAACGGTGAGCTATATCTGGAGATATTAAGTCAAACAGCCAATAGCTTGGTGAAGATGAAAGATTTAAGATGTACCTCACAGAAAGAAAGCCAAGAGACAGAAAGTGTAGAAAGAAAACTCCAAAGCTCAGGGGGCTTAAACCACTGAAAACACAGCCACCACAAAATGGGAAATGGTCAAAAAACTGAAGTTGGATCAGCAGACATCACAGAAGGGTTTAGGTTTAGAAGAGATTACAGATAGGAGGGGTTGAAGCCACTGTGGACTTGCAAAACAAGTCTAAGAATTTTAAAATTAGAATGCTGCTTGCACAGCAGGTATTTCAGTAAGAGAAGTGAGCAGGACTTGGTGTGAAATACAACAAAGGAAGACAACCTTTCAAAGGACAGAATGTGCAATGTCACTCGGGGGTTTGTCTGAATAATCAAATCTGGAGCTAACAAAGGCATGGATGCGAATTTCACTGCAGATAAACTGAAGCAAAAGCATCACTGGGTGTGGTTATAGAATTAGAAACAGTCATTGTTCCTGACTCTTGTGGCTGGAAGTGTAATTTTTGGTTACGTACAAGACCAAGGCTGTGAACTGTTTGAGTCGGCCTCAGGCAGCTGCTAAAGTGAGGAATGGAGTTGGTGACAGCATCTACACACAATTGCTTCTGGTCTTCCCAATCTAATACTCTATGTTGGACAAGCAGTCAGAAAATTTAAGAGGCAGATTTAGCCTGAAGAATGAAATTATTTTGTACATGGTACGGTTATTTTACTATTCTATAACAACAGTATGTTTTGATGATTTTTGACCCCAAGATTCCAATCTATTTTGCTTAAAACTCAGCA